TTGATAGGGGTAGATATGGATTCATTACACTTAGTGTACAGCAGTTTTTCTTAATATTTTGAAGAATTTTGCCTATTTCAGTTTGATCTTGAATTTCCTGTTACACTAGATTTTGTACAAATTGATTGGCTGAAGTTTAGAATTGGTTGCTTTATAATTAGTAAAAATGTAAACAAGGATGTATGTGATATGAAATATAAATACATTTTCTAAGATCTATAAAAACTTTAGGTCCATCATAAGTCATTAACTAGTTATACAGGTGAATAAATATTATATGGGTTGTAGACTTCTCTTTTTTATTATCCCCAAAAGTGATATAACTATGGAATGAGTATTTCTTTAGAGACAAAGTTGGGTAGAAGAGCTGTGATTAGGAATACTTTTTTCTTCTTTTTTTTTTCTTTTTTTGTAAATATTTTGAATATTTTCTTCTTCATTTTTTCTTTCTTTCTTTTTACCTTTATATTTTTAATATTGATTAGCTCTTGACTAGTATAAGAAATCCTTAATATTGATTGATGCTAGTATTTTGAACAAGTTCTAATAGATTAAGCCTCTCTAGTGAATGGTGACAGGCTGATCAGTAGATAAAAATCCTAGATAGTACTCAACTTAATAGCAGGAGGTAATCAAAAATACATCTTTGAGTGTATCTGATCAATCTCTTCTTTATTTTTAGAAGATATTATTTATATTAGGTGGTCATATATTTTCTTTATTCTAGTTAGATTAGACTTAGATTGAGTCATATAAATAGATAACCTTTTGTATCATTTCCTTTCCAAGGATTTATAAATTCTCAGAAGTATGGATAAATATTTATTCCGATTGTTCCTAAATATGATCTTCTTTTAATAAAGTTATTGAAAGTGATGCAGGATGAGCCAGTTTAAAAAAAAAAAATCAGATAATTCATATTATTATGACATAATATTATTAGAAGATTTGTTAAATTAGATATATAGTTTAAAGGAGATTTTGAAATATAAATAAGAAACAAAAATAGAAAAGAGTAAAAATCAAAAGTTAAATTCAAAAGACAAAAAATTATCAATATATTTAAAGAGTAAAAAACAAATTGGGAAAAGTATACAAATAGGCAAAATTCAGAAAACAGTTAAAAAATTAGAAGAAAAAAATAAAAAAAAACTTGAAAAAAATTTAGTAAGGTAAAATCAATTGAAACTAGTTTTAAAAAAGTCAATCTAAAAATTTTTTTAAAAAAAGAAAAGCAAGTGAAAGAGAAGAAAGAGGAAGAAGAAAGTGACAAATAATTTAGTTAATTAATTTTGTAATTTTTTAATAAATTTCATGAAATTTGTTAAACTTTTAAATAATTATCAAATTTTAATACTTGATTTATAAATTTTGTTTAATTTTTTGTTGTAAAATGCAATTTTTTTTATCAAATTTTTTGTTGCAATATCAATTTTTTTGTTAAATTTTTTTGTCACAATATGCAAAAAAATTTTTTGCTACAGTATATAAATTTTTTGTGTAGTATATCTAAATTTTTTTACAGTATTGCAAATTTTTTGTTAAATTTTGAGTCAAATTTTTTTGCCACAGTACATTAAAATTTTATTTGACAATTATTTGATGATTTTTTAATGACATTTTTAATGCTAAGTCGAAAATGATTCATCAATGTTTTTATTATCAAATTTAATCTAATTCAGCGATAATTAGGCTGTCAAATAAACTAGTGTTATTAAAACTCAAGTTTTTAAAGGTTAATTACCTAAATGAATACTTTAATATTTTTTCTTAGACCTTAAAAAATTTTTTTAAATTTTTTTGTTTCTATTTATAATATTATAGATAAGTCTTATCTAATCAATTCTTTATTCAAGCAAATATTAAACTGAGATAAGTTAAGCTAAAAATAATTATATTTTAGAGTTTATTAATATGGTTTGAATTAAGGTTATACTCGATTATATTAGACTCAATATTTTTTGTTTTTTTTTGATTACCCTTTTCATATGCTGTATGTAATTAATCGTAAATTCTTTATTATATGATTCACATTTTTGTGCGCAAAATTATTATTCATCTAATACGAATAGATATTTTGCAAATTTTACGGACGGACTTTTAACGATATACAGTATAATAATAGATTTAAAGATTATTTTGAAGGTGAAGTCTATAATAAAAATATGATATGGTCAAACTTTTGGGAATTGCTATATTTTCAGGAAAAACTTACAGTTTACGTTTTATTATCTTCAAATTATATCCTATTTACGTGATTAACTTTTTTTGTAATTATACAATAAAACTCGATATCAATATGTCTAGACTGATAAAAATTATCGACATCAAATTTAGTTAATTGCCCTAGAGTTACATCACGTAGTGTATATCAAATTTCAGATTTTCAAGTGACAGATTGGATTTTTAAGTACGTAAGTAATTGATACTGTAATTAAACTATAATATTTAATAATTTGAAAGTATGTACAGTATTTCTTGGGTGCTAATTCTTTATACAGTAATAATATTTTTGATATTTTAAATATGTAAGCTTTCAATATTTATTTTATGTAACTTTGATATACAATAATTAACGTATAATTAGCTTGTAAAAGAGTTTAACTATATTTTTGAGTCAGTCAATAAAATTGCGCGAACACACACATTTAAAGGCATTTATATTTGTTCGAGCAAATGCCTCTCACAACCTTACTCCCTTGAATCAATCCTCTACTTTTCTTTCAACGTTTCTTTATCAACTTGTATCTCTATGCATGAAGTCGTGTCTACACGTACGCGTGATCACGCGCTTCGCGTTTCGGCATGCAAATTCAAATGTTAACAATATATATTCCATAAAACATGTGCAAGTTACAGTATATACAGTATTTATATCACCTGTTGGTATTTCTCAATTGTCGATTATGATTTAATTTTTCAAAAATTCTCAGAGATATGTTTTATTAAAGCAGATAACGTTGTAACTAGGATGCTCGTCAAAAGTATTAGGAAGTGGAAATTTCTGGTATGGCTTTAAATAATGCACGAGCTAGACCATATACAGTATTACACACGTGGTGGTGCACAATGTAATTGATCATACATACAGTATGTAATTTATGAATTCAAAAAAGGTTTTATCGGAACATTTTTCCACATGGTATTAATCTTATCGAACGAAGTAATTATCGAGATTTTAAGAATCTGTTGGTGGAAGTGGGGTAACTGGTAGTTCCAATCGCTTCTTCATTGGCTTCCTCCGTGACCTCTTGTTTATACTTACCCTACTGTGCATACTGTACGCGGTCGTAATTAGATATGAGGAATTTTTTAGAACTCGTCAGGCTTGCAGACGGTGGAATCAATTGGTACTCGCAGTGATGAGAGGTGAACTTTTAAATGAATTTATTGAGAACTGGAATTTCAGTCTACACTGGTACGCATCCTACCTTGTATTTTGATCGTTCCATCAAGATTTTGTATTGTTCATGTTCTGTTATTATGAATGTTAATTCTAATGGCTAATTGAAAGTGATCAATCTTACAAGTACAATGAGTCCAATTTTCTTTGTATAAGTTGACGGAAAATAGGAAGCTGAATTTCGATGATACCCTCAAATCATTCCCCAATTCGAATTCTCCACGGCGTCATTATACATTGAAAGACGAAGGCGATGAAATATCGTGTAACACGTGTGATATGTTTGAAGAGATAGGGGTGAACATTGTTTTCGTATTACGAGTACGAGGGTTCGAACAAAAGGAATATGTGATGTTCGTTTGAAAAAGCATTTCAATTTAGTTTGAGCTTCTCGATTACTGTATCTTGATTTCTAATTTTGCGCATTTTTTTTTTTTTTTTTTTTTGTAAAATGTCCATCATCGATGAGTGCGAACTGTACATATTCATTCGTAAAAGGGGGAGAAGGGTAGGGTGAGAAACAGCGTCTGAAAACTGGTAGCCCCGTATTTACTTTGTGCAATTTCGAAAGCCCATATGTAATCAACGTGATACATAACCGCAATAATCTCATGCCCACTGTACTTGAAATATGAAGAAATGCAAAGACAATTATGAAGAAAGAAAGAAAGAATGAATGAATGATGATGGCTTTGTTTAAAATATTATTTTGGGCATTTTGAATGTTCATCTTACCCCCCAGCTTACAATGATTTCCTTCTTCAATATAAAGAACTGACATGGTTATATTTTGTCCTGTAATTTTAAAAAAAAAACGATTTACTGTACGTTCAAAATATTATTGCGTGAGGTAATTTCAAATTTAACATTTCACATGTAAAATTACTTATTTTAGGTAACAGAAGTTAGCACGTCCTAGGTATTAATAATAAAAAACATCGTCGCTATTTTAGAGGAATCTCTAGCCCGAAATATAAGGTTTTGATTTTGCCGCCTTTTTAGGTTGGTGTCCATTGTTCAAATGGTCATCAAACGTACTGTATGTACAGTGCGTATGTGCGTACAATGCTGAAACTTATTGGCACAAGATGATTCGAGAAGGGACTTTGATCGTTTCAAATGTTTTAACATCAATATCGAAAAGAAGAAATGTGAATTTTTCGTGCCAAAGGTAAGACGCGCTTTAATTATCTTGTCTTAAAAATGCGTTTGCATTTTCCAAGCTTATGAAAGATGTGCACAAAATCCAAATGACCATTCTATTTATAAATTGAGAGCCACACCACACGAAATGAACCAAGAAAAAGGATATTCAAGTATCGGTAATAAATAAATAAGCACACTAAATGAATAATAAATGCCGCATATAAAAACATGTACGCACGTACAAATTTTTCAGTGTGCATACACATTGTTGGATAGTAAATTTTGGCATTCAGAAAAGTACTCGATGTATCTTTTATGGGCTTAATGAATAAAATTGTGATTGGCTTAATATTATAGGTTGCCAAAACAAGACGGTGATTTTCATTGTGTTTCAGAACACTATAAATAAGGAACATTTGTTTGCGCATCAATATTTTATAAATTCTTACTCATGGAAATCGAAGAGCTAAAGGTATGTGCGCGGCCTCATTCAATAAGATTCTTTTTGTTTATTTAAATTTCAACGTAATTAAAAGGTAGATGAAACTGAAGAGCAAATAGAAGAACCAGAGGAAGCTGAGGAACCAAAACCCGATGGTAGGTTGCTAGTTAAGGTCAAAACTGTTGTGCATCGAGATGTTAATTCTTTTTTCGTACGCAGAATTGAAGTTAGCAAGGGTCGAATACGATTATGAAGCAAAGGAACCCGATGAATTATCTCTTGACATAGGTGACATCGTAACTGTACTTGAGCAAGGAGAACAGGGTTGGTGGAAAGGTGATTTGAACGGAAAAGTTGGCTCTTTTCCCGCAAACGTAAGTCGCACTCCTCTTATTCCTTTTACCTTGAAATCGCTTTGATCTGATTTGTTCAATCCATAATGATAAATAGCACGTCAAATTAATTGAAAACAAAGGAAAATCTGACGAGGGGGGAGTTGAGGAAAACACTGAAGGAAAAGGTTCGTTTCATAATTAATGTTTAATTCATTTCGATTTTTTTCACAAACTCGCATCGTTGAAATTGTGTCAAAATTTCAGGGAAGTTATCAAAAAAATTAATAAATTATGGTGTCAAGCCGGGTGGTGTAGGAAGTCTGTTTGCTGGCGGGTTCCCTTTGAAGAACGCTAGAAGAAACCAGAACATATCAGAGCCGGGTGATTCACCGAAAACCGAAGAAAAACGTGAGATATTAACTCACGTGTTAAGAAAAACGAGCCGTAGTTTATCCGAGGATAGCGCAGAAAAATCGACGGACAATAAATTCGAGACGCCGCATTCGGTATGTTCTCTAATCTCGCATGTCAGAAATGATTCTTTTTTTTTTTTGCCATCATGAGCGTTCAGGGGATAATTGCTGCTTCAATAAACAACATATAGCCCAAATCCGTACGTGGACAAGAGTCTGCGTTGAGAGCTGCTCCCCCGTTCCCTCGATTGCCACCTAAAAAGCGACCACCAAAGCCGAAGCCTGGTAAATATGTACTACCCTTTAGTGGTCCATGTAATACTGTATCTTGAATTAACGGGAGAGTGATCAATTGCATTAAAATTCTTGTTTAATTAATCAGAGCCAAAAGCTATCGTCCTTTATGAATATGATGCGACAGAAGATGGTTTGTATCTTTATCACTGCAGACTTTCTTCGTTCTCCTTCAACGTTTCTTTAGTAACGCATGCCTGGACTAGATGAAATTTCCTTGAGGGAAGGAGAAACCATTGTAATTCTGGAAAAGATCGAAGATGACGGTTGGTGGAAGGGTAGAAATGAGGAAGGGTCTGTCGGAATATTTCCGTCTACTTATGTGAAAGAGATCGCGATGGAGGAGAAAACACAAACAGTGGAAGATATTGAATCAAAGGTTGAAAGTACCCCGCATGAACCTAAACTTGAACATAAACCCGAACCCGAACCTGAGCCCGAAGTTGAGCCCGAACCTGAACCCGAACCCGAACCTGAGCCCGAACTTGAACCCGAACCTGAACCCGAACCTGAACTTGATCCTGAACCCGAGCCTGAACTTGAACCCGCGTTCGAACCCGAACCAGAGCTTGAACCCGAACCCGAATCTAAACCCGAACTGTCACCTCGCAGTCCTCGTCATGATAAATCAATAGATAAGTATGAACCTGCAGGACACGAAGAGGATCATGTTCATGAGGATTCACACAGCGAAAGTTCCGGTTTGCATTCGAAACATCACCACGCTGGCAACCTTCCTCCGATACCAACTGGACTACAGTCTTCCACCCATGAGGACTCACCTTCAACTCCTCCTCCTCCCCCTCCTAACCGACGATCTCTGGATCTGTCAACCAAGCGACAATCCCGTCATGAAGTAGACTTGCCTGCAGTCCCCACCCACGAGGACTCACCTTCAACTCCTTCTAACCGACGATCTTTGGATCTGTCAACTAAGCGACAATCTCAACATGAATTAGATTTGCCTTCTTCGAGAGGATCCTTGAGTGATCATGACAACAACGAAGAGACCTATACCAATCGTTCCCTTGGATCTCCAGAATTGCCTAATAATGATCAACCAAGATCATTACCGGAGAGACGCAAATCAAAAAGCGGATCATTACCTGCTGCACCATCAGCCAGTGAAGAATCGACTGAGGAATCCCAAGACACTCCGATTTCCACCGCTCCTCCAGTTTCGCTCGTTAAAAGACCAATCCCCCCGCCTAGATCGACGCATACCTCATATGAGGGTAAAACCGACGCTGCCAAGTTGACCCAACCACATTTGGCAAAACCACCCTCTGTCCCGAGGCTCGGATCAACTCTGGCAAAACCACCATCTGTTCCCAAAAGATCTTCGACATCTAGTAAAAATGGTTCGTCTGTATCTGAGGAGGCAGTTCGCGAAATCGCTACCGAATCGGAGAAAGAAGATAAGCCACGTGAGTTAGATTTGGAAGAAAGAGGCGAAAATATCGATGAAACCGTGGACAGCAAAGAATCCGAATCCACAATAATTGACGAACATTTTGAGAAAGAGGAGGCGGACGTCGTTGATGAGACGAGTAAAGGTGTTGAACATGAAAGTATCAACGAAGAGTTGGCCGTCGCTGATAAGACTAGCGAAACGGGGTCCGTACTTCCACCGTTGCCAACTGGGCCTAGATTGATGAATTTAGGTGCCGAAAGACCAGCACTCAAAGGCAGAAGGCCACCAGCAAAACGCACAGTGAATCAAAGTCAAACCGAAATCTTGGAACAATCGGTCGCAATGGTTAGTTTTTTCCTATAGTCCAAAAAGGTATTGTTCAAAGGTCGAGTACTCTTTTTCACATTCAACATTTTACTAACCAACATAGGAGAAAGACGAAGTAGAGGAATCCAAACAAAAACCTATCAGCATACCACCTAAACCGGTGAAACCAAGCATGTTTAAGTTGCCAATTTCTGGTGGAGGGTTACCTCAAGTTACTTTACGATCGGTTCCAAAAAAACCTGTGGAGCTATCAGCCTCTTCGACGACAACCACCACAACAACGACATCATCTGTCACAACCAACACCACGGAGGTTGAACCAATCAGTAAGCCGTCCGTGAAATCGATTACCTCAAGGTTTAACATTCCAAATCAGTCAACCGATGTAGAAATAAGATTAAGGAAATGGTTCAACGAAGAGATAAGTAAGGTTAAAGGTCATTTTGAAGCACAGTTGGCCGAGGAACGGAGAAAACGCGAAGAATTGGAAGAATTGGTTCGTGAAATTGGCTCTAGGCTTGAATGATGGAAGTGTTCATCACTTTGATTTTTAATTTATCGAAAAAAAATTTTGGAAGCACGATAGAACGAATGTATTTACAACTGTAAATACGTATTTTCATATTTACACACATTCTTATTTATTATAAAACTGTTACAATACGATTTTTTAAATTAAATTAATTTTAAAACTTAATAAAAGAAGGTATGAGTTAACTTATTAAAATTATTGGCGTAGCATAAAATTCTTGTAGATTGCGTTTATTCGTTTGAAGGTCCGGAAATGGTACGGCAATGAAGATTGCTGCAAACATCTCACGGATTCAAAAAATTCACATTTTTTTTGCATGCAACTGTTATCGATGTTATTTACCTTGAAAAGGAATTTTTTTATCATTTTATTTGGTCGTAGTACGATAATATTTATTTATACAAGAAAATTCGATAATTTTCGTTCGTAAGAAACTCGATAGTTCAACCCGTCTGAAAATGCTAAAGCGTAATTCGTTGATAATTTATAACAAAAAACGAAAGTTATCTATCGATACGCAAGTGCGCACTCGCTGTAGGCTCGAGAAATAGACGAAAAAGAAATCGAAACGAAATAAACTTTCTCTCTTCGTTAAGAGATCGGCATCCGATAAGATGAACCGAAGCGATTCACATATAATTTTTTCGATAAATTCTTAAGTCATATTGTGTTCTTATATAAAGCTTATTTGAGTGAGTGAATAGATAAAAGGTTGATCAGAAAACGGGATGCAACGCATTGTCTTTGAATTGATTCCACGGAATGCTAGGAATCGTTTCTTCGACGTTTTGAGAACGGAATGACGATGATTGCTTTCTCGTGACGTTCTTTTTTGATTGCCTCGGATTTCTGGTCTGTTTCGGGGTATGGGGGATGTATGTGTGGAACGGCTGTCCGATGTTGTGAGCTCGTAACGCCGAGTCGTAAACCCGTCTCATAATGCCAATCATCTCCGACTTATTTTCCGATAGTTCAGTCCACATTTTCTTTGATATATGGGAAACCTTTTGCCAGGTAAAGGCAAGATTCAATGATTTGAAGATGTGACTTAATTGTTGTCGGAATAGGATATATCCGGTGGCCGGTCTTTTCTGCGAAGTGGCATTGTATTTCTTCAACCCCGCCTTGGAGAAATGAAGATCAATCACTTTTTTACGCGACGCCAAGCTGTCGAGACTGGGTATGTCGAAATAGCACGTTTCGCATTTTTCATTATGCGAGTAATACAGGAAGTACATTTGATTGACCTCGTTGCCAAAAAGGATGTACTCCTCACCGTCCTCATATCTTACGCCTGCTAGACGTACAATGGGTATTTGTTCGTAAATTATGCTAGCTTCGTTAATTAACTCTTGGGAAGGAAAAGGGGGCGTCATGATGCAGGTGGAACGAGGATGCAATGTGGGAGCAAGACCAGAATTGTTTTTCATCCAACCGTTGTTCCGATGCGAAGGTGAACAAGAACGAGGAAGCAATTTTTGGAGCAAAACCGAGAGCCCTTTTATACATTTTTTATTGCTCAAGGGGAAAAAAGTTCGCAATATATTAGGCCAAAGGTTTGAACTAACGCGCACACGCTTGATGATCAATGATAAGGATAGAATTACTTGAGACCCGATAAAAGTCCTTACGATGAGATAATACAATTAAATAAGGTCAACAAAAAAATTAGCGTTTGAGACAAAGCAAGGACATGACCATGGAGTCCGTGAAAACAGTGTAATTCATAATTCATTCACAAAATCTTTGATTACATTCCTTAAACGAAATTTCGAGAAAATAAAAACCTCCACAAGGAATAAACATCTGTGGCGCCACAAACATTTATTACTAATAATAGCCCCTAAGGATATATTCTTATGGGGTTCGAAAGTTGCAATCTACGTGACGTGTGTTTTCTTTGCCTTGTAATTATTTCTATTCGAAGTCACGTCCGGTTTTTTTCAGGTTCATCTATTTATCTTTATCAAAATTTCCATAAAAAATTTTTCCGTTGCACGTGACAGAATATATGAGTACAGTAACACCCCAACTAGGTATATCACCATCTCGGTATCATTTGGAATTAAGAGGGGCAAATAAATAAATAAAAAATAGATATCTATATGCGTATGAGCACAAACCCGGAATTTGAAAAACAGATGAGTACTACACATACAAACAACGACCAGTTGTACATAAAATTTCGAGCATCGATGATTAAATATGGAATTTTAAAGAAAGCAGATTACGTGCATGCATGAGGTTAAATGAAATTTTAAATTATGGAAAACAGATATGTATCTACAAAGATCTTTGTCTTGATAATGCACGCAAGAGGAGACTCCGGTTTGTGCAATGATCTTGATTATCGATGATTGAAATTTGGGAATTGTAGAGAAAGCGGACCGCATTTATGTACGGGCTCAAATGAAACTAAAACTTATGGGAAAACAAGTACTATGCGTGTATACGAAAATACCCTATTCTGAACGCGCATTCAAGAAATGGTTCCGGTCTGTGCGAACTCCTAATCACCGGGTTTGTGAAAAGAAGAAAAAAAAAAAAAATCACAAACAAGAAATGATACCGGTTCCAAGTAAAATTTAGGCACTGAATTTACTAACAAATGAACAAGTGTATGCCCGTGGAATTTTGGGGGGCACGCATGGAATAAAAGACTCCTATTCTTTGTAAAAAAAAAAAAAAAAAAAAGAAAAAATATCGAGCCTATTATTGAAATTTGTGTAGAAAACACGCGGAAACTTTATGTGCACACGCAAATGATTTTATTCTGGAAATACATAAAAGAAAACCCCATGTCCATATCATCATTTCAAATATGTCCATTTGGAAAGGGAAACACTACAATCAATTATTTAAAGCTTGTGTCATAAGATAGGGAGGAAAGAGCTTTTGTTTTTCTTTTTTTTCTTTTTGCGTAATAGTTCTCTTCAACTCCTATCAGATGTTATTGTTGAAAGAGCAATTGTGTTGAAATTCTTGCCTACTTCTTTAGGCACATTTATTTATCGTGGCGCTCCTTCGCTAGTGTGATGAAGGGTTGATTACAAAAGTAACGCGTCATAAATCTTTTGCCGATAGTCTTTCCTCATTATCTTAGCACGTGCTTGTAGATCCATTTCCCAATTCCTACTGAGGAAACGGCAATATACTGTAAATGAATGATAGGAATTGTTTATCAAACTTTTTTTATGTCGATATTTTTCTATATGTTTATAGCTCACCATTATTGTGCGCTGCATGGAATATTATTATTTGTTTTATTTCTCTCATTTAACTACCTTGACTTGATTTTATTTTTTAAAAGTGCAATCGATTCTTTGAATTTATTTAACAATCTAATTAAAAATTCTAATATGCAGTACATTCTCGAGAAGTTTGTTAAGTATAATTGAATGAAAATTTTTTGTTGCTTTAAATATTAAATTAATTTATCAAATGTTAATTTAACCCACCATTTGAAATTATTATTTTAAAAAAAATTTTTTTAAAATTAATAAAATAAAAAATTTCATCAAAAAGTTAAAAGCTCATTATTGCAATAATAATAAGTAATATTGTTGTTGTTATTAATATTATCGATATTATTAAATTATTTCCTATATATACTATTTTGTGTGTTGTTTTTATTTTTAATCAGATTTATTAAATATTATGAAAAATATAACAATTCAATCATAATTCTGTTAATTGAAGATTTTAAAATTTTAATTATATTACTGTATATGCATAATTCTAACTATTCATAATACAATAACTATTTTTTAAAAAAACCGATTTAAATTCTATCCTTTGGCTTATAACATTCTATTATTAAAATTTTGAATGTGAACAGAAAAGTTGATTTATTAAAATCCATATTTTAAAGTAATATTTTCTTTAATTAAAGAATATAAAACAAAAAAAGAATTTATTTATAATAATCTTTTAAAAAACTAGTAAACAAATAAACAAAAATATAAATTAAATTAATTTATAAGCAATAAAAATAAGAGTAATAAAATACTTTTTAAAAAACTTAATTAAAATAAAATAATAAATAAATAAAAAATATAAAAAAATAATAATAATATAATATAAGAAATAAAAAAAATATAGCAAATATTTATTAATAAAAATGATATTGATCCAATAAAAATTCTTATATAGTTTTTAACTACAATACTTGAATTATTTTTTTAATAAAAAAAATATTTAAAAAAATTCTTATCTATAAAATTTTTTTTCCTAAAAATTTTTCTTTTTTGGTAATTTTGAAAAAAAGAAAAAAAGTAAATGGAAAAGATAAGTTCTCATTGAGAATCTAGAAAATAATATATTACACAACAACAATGAAAACCTTTTGACAAAGAGTAACATAAAAAATATGTATATAGAAATAATATAAACAACATGAAAAAAAATACTAAAAACAAAGGAAAAATAGCTGTAAGAAAAAAAAAATACATCTCAAAAATAGTTAATAACTTCTAATAAAGTACAATAAATCAATTTCCAAGATTTCAATAATACTAAATGAATAAAAATTGCAACCAACAATATCTTTTGAAGTAAACAAGTAAAAAAAGAACTTTCAATCAATATATTCATGATAACAACTTCACTATATCAAAAAAATACAGAAAACAAACTCAGTGATCAACAAATAACTCTTAATTATTGAGTATATCCTAAGAAAACAAATACAGAGATGAAAATCAAAGAAGAATCAGAAAAAAACTTATCTCAAAACACTTTCACTTAGGAAGAAGAATAGTAAACTATATCAAAGTATAAATCAAAATTAACCAGTATGATAAACTTTAACCTAAATCTCTACTGATAAAAGAGTCAAATTTAGTAGAGAAAGAGTCAAAGCAAGAATCAAAGCAAGTGAAATTTCTAGAAGAACTATTAGTCAAAAGATTTTCTTTTTAATAAAAAACCTAAACTCTTTGATAGGCCTAATGTCAATATTCAATAAAGGGAAAAAAGAAAATAAGCATATCATTACTATTTTTACCAATAAATAAACTACAAATAAGATATATAATCTTATTCTATAAGATACAGCAACATATACTTGAAACACATGGAAATCACAACTTTATCTCAAAAAAGAAAAAATAATATTATTATATGAGACATTCTCCTAAATATCAAGTTTATTAAAGTATAACAAATCTTTGTTAAATATGTGAGATCAATAATGTTATAATGATAACTTAATAGATATAGCAAATCACTATAATTATTTATGAAAATTAGAAAAGCAAAAAGTCAATTATTAATCAATAGAATGTATCACTAAGATTAGATTTAGTCAAAGTCTTAGATGCATTATAGAATATGAAACAGATAAAAGAAAAAAGTACAATAGCAGTCAAACTTATTAATCTTTTCCTTAACACTACAGCCTTTGATTTAAGCTATATTTATAAACAAATCAAATCCAAGTTCCAATCATCTCTTTTATAAAAAAAAAGAATTGCTATAATTAATTTTGATAGTGTAGAGTCAGAAATATATCAATAGATAGAAATTTCTATTTGAAAGAAACTATAGTTGAATGAAAACCAATTGATATTAAACTGTATAACATCAATAGCAATACAAAACATTTGATATCAAACTACCCATTCAAAAAGCAGTACATATAATGGAATCAATACTGTTTTGAGCAGGTCAATTATTTTGACAAACTCTATACTAAATATAAATCACATATGCTAAAACAATTAGAAATCTTATTATAAACAAGAAGTCAAGTAGGAGAACTTAACTTGGCTTATATATAGCAATAGTCAGACAGGGATAAAAGTAAAAGAATGATAATGAACATATCAATATACCTATAAAAATAAACACTATAAAAGAAGTTCTGAATATCCTTAAAGCAATCACACAAGAAATCAGAAAAAATAAAAAAAGAAATCATCAACCTAGATAAATGAATTGTCAACTTAGAGACTATAATAAAAAATATATAGAATAAATAGATAAAGAACAGGCCTCTTATTATAATGCAAACAATTTAATAGAAAATATAGAAAAAACTCTTAAAAATTTTCAAGATATTTAACTATAACAATAGTAAATCTACTTAATAATGAATTGCTTGGACCAAAACATAGATAAAATATTCAATGTTCTCACTAACATTTTAAATATAAACATATCTCTCAATACTTATCTATCTATCAATAACTGAAAACCTAGAAATTACAAACAATTCTAAAATAACTATTTCAACAATATTTAAAAAGAAAAAATAATAACCTCAAATAGAAATACAAATCAATTAGACATAACTTCTTTAATATATATCAATGCTTTATATTACATCATTATAAATAATATATAAACAACAACTATTTATAATATTCAGGACCTA